TTTGTATTTCTTTAGATTTTACGGTGCCAATTTCTATATGCTTTTGAGAAAACACATGCCGTTTACAGTCATCTTTTTCCGCCATGAGCACTGAGAAGTCTTTGTTGCATACACTGCAGTGTGCGTGATTCCAGAAATTTCGGACGCTTTAATGCATGGAAATTCTGAAGAATATGAATCTTTAAACTTCTGCTTTGATAATATTGGCTTCTTTCTTCGTTCGGCAGCATTATGATTAAAAATCTTTCACCTGATTCACAGTTCACAAGACACACGCTAAGCTCTCGCCGTAAACTACACAATGCAGCCAATGCAGCCTAAACACGCATCACGCGAGGAACCTGGGAGACAGACAATTGGGTGGAACTATTGATAAGTCGTTAACGGTTGGTTTACTGATCTACGATTGCTAATTCTTCAAAACTAGGAACGCACTCACACGTGATATATGATAACACGAGTATTCAGCCAATCATCGGATGAATTAGTTGGTTCCGTTTTGCGTACTGGTTTTCCTGCTCTTGTTTCTGTAAAATCCGTAGTTTTTTCCATACTTTTCGTAGGTCGTAGTTTTTCATGAATTTCCGTAGAAACTACGGAGAATATCCGTAGTAGTTGGAGTCTATGAAGATGTTTCCCCTATGTAGAATATTTCAGTTTAAGATATACTCCGAGCAGATATGCAGCTATGGAGTCAAATTATTGATCACACAAATGTATGCTAAAATTGTTGTTTCTTCAATAACGAGGCATTCTATTTAGGGCTCAAGTGAAATACAGAATTGAGACTCTCCATATGTTTTATTATTGGTGTGTTTGTGTGTGTAATTATGGCAAAGCCTCGAGGGCTATCTGCCTAAGGGGAGGGATGCCTTCGTGGAGGACTTTCTAAGGGGAACTGGCTCGTATACACGTTACACATGGGGAAAACCACGAAAACGGCCATGCAGCCAGCCCGTTCGCGGGATTCGAACCTCGGACCGAACTACCAGTGTTCAGCGACTTTACCGCTCGGCCGCTAGTGGGCTTGGGGAGAGGGGAGGAATCGAAATGTGCATGCATATAGTATACCTCCCCTCCAAAAGAAAGGGTTGTTGTCGCATTTGAGGCCGAGATTTGTCCCATGCCAACAAACTCTGTTGATTTAGTAGAGCACTTGGTTCACCTCTGCCACACATTTGCCATCCACAATTTTACACCTTTCTGGTCTATCCATCCCTTTTCATAAACATGAACAAAAATGTCTGGAAGGAATTTTAATTTAGGAGCAGTTTTCCTCTTGAAAATGACCATGGTTTTTTTAAAATTTGTTCCATTTGCCATGAATGATACTACTACTTTAAACTAGGTCTTTTTATGGGTTGAACTTCTAACTCGAACAGTTTTCATGTCTTTAGTTTCCACAGTTCTATTGTTTATTAAGTAGAATTTCATCAGCATTTTATTCATATTTCCAACATTAGATAGTTGTACTTCTTGCCTCATACCAATAACAAATTTGTGAAAACTCGTAACTTTATGGTCAAGATCCAGTGGTAATTTCTGCTTATGGAATGATTGCATCAACTTACTGTTGCTTTAACCCTTTGTGGTGCACTATACTTTAAAGTCGGAATTTCAACAAAAAAACGTTGTATGCAGTCTGTCTAAGCCTAAAGGAGTATACAGGTAAAATTTTGTATAAATTGCACTTACCATTTTAATTCTGTGGGTGTTCCCATGAGGTGGAACACTGCGCCGCCAGAGATTTTAAAAGTGCGACTAAGTGAGCATTGCAGTAAAGCATGAAAATGAGTAGAAGCATTTTTATAGTAATGAAAAAACTCTATTATGACTGTATACATGGTTTTCTGGATATACACAACATTCTTGAATAAATATGGATAAATAAGATAAATTATATGTATATACACAAGTCCCATATACAAAGATATTTGCAAATTTTCCGATTTCTTAGCTTTGTGAAATTGCTCAAAGCATGTCTCACTTTTTTGATACAAGCTTTGCACACTTTGCAGGTTTTGAACACAAAACGTGTTTTGTGCGGCTTCTTGTTCCGTGCAACAATATGTTTAGAATTCCAAGTAAAAACTTGAGGCTGGGTAGAGAGGACTGGGTGAGATAGGATCATCAACCTTCCTCATCAAATAAATGGAGTTTCCTCCGACATATCATCATCGGATTACACAAGTAGTTCAGGAGCATATATCTCAGTATCGCTGCTATTTTCATGTTCTGATTCAGAAATAAGAGGGTAATTCATGAAACACGTTTAGCGCTTAGGAAAGAGTTAGACCTCTCCGCTCCACTTTATGGAAAATTAATAATAAAAAATTAACATTAATACTAACATATAGGAAAAATAAGCTAGAAGATATGCATACACAAAAAATATCTACACAATTATTGAAAATAAACGAGAATGAGACTAAAAAGCGACAGCAAAAAATTCGCGCAGCTCTAAGTAAAGAAGACTCGAGCTACTGATAAAAATCCCGCCTGAAAATTACTCACAAAAATTTCAAGATGACCATATTAGAGCTTTCATAGCACAAACCACACCTCACCCCTCAAGACTGCTTTGTTTAAATTCATTCCCCAACAACAGAAATAGAAAACATATACAACAGATGTTTTCTCCTAAGACAGATGTTGTGATGCGTAATAGCATGAGATCGCTAAAGGCGCAGTGTTCCCGCTAATGGAACACCTCGTTTTATTCAATGAATCTCCGCATGCTTTTGCATGAAAAATGACGAAAAATATATAACAAATAATATAGGGTAGAGTCATCAAAATTATACAGACATTATTTTTCAAACAGATTTTTTTGTATCACCAAAAAAAAATATAGAAAATTACTAGAAAATAAGTGGATTTTTAATACATCATAAATGAAAATTCTGTCTCCTTGTGATATGCTGCCATCGACTATTTAAAAAGAGAAGTTCAAAGTATATTATAAAGGCATTTTTATCCATTTATGGTTGAATTTAACAGTTTCAGAAGCGATTCAAGTTCATGGAACACTAAGCAACAAAGGGTTAAATATTTTGCCTTCTGGATTAGCCTGTTCCCACTTCAATGCATAAGCCCTAACTTAAAAATGCCACTTTTAATTACTTTTACACAACTTATCAGAAAATATCTTACCCCCCCCTCTTGATACCTTCCAGTCAGTCTTGGTATACAAGTAAACAAATCATGCAGTCTCATGGTGAATAGCACACAAAAGGATTAAAGTAAGACTAGTGATCATCCTTCAAAATACATTTTTCTTACAATAACATAAATATTCTGCCTTTGTATAGTACCATTCTGAAATATTATTTTCTAAATCTGGCCAGCAAGTCCTCTTCTTATAAAACATATTTTTTTTTTTTTTTAAAGCATCTTCATTCTTTTTCCAGTCTTTTCTGTTATACAGAAAGCCTTTGCTTCAGCATATTTGTTTGATTCTTTAGACTGTTTCATGACTTTTAACTTGAAGCTTGCTTCATATTTCCTTCTTTTTATTGCTTCAATAATTAGGCTCATACTTTATTAATGTTTGGCTGATTACATTTATAGTACAAATTGTTTGAAACATGACACAACCCACAACAAAACTTGTTAGAGGCACATGTGAGTTTGTGATTCCGTACATGCTTCCTACAGGCAGTGCTGCCAGGTGCAAGAAAACAAACTTATTAAAGGTTCACGTGAATTCATGATTCAGCATATGCTTTTGTAGGTAATACTGCCAAATATAAGAAAAAATTTTGTTCCAGATGATGACCACTGATCTAAACTAAATTCACAGGCCATTATCAGTTTGAGGGTTGCCTTATAAGACAGAAATAAGCTAAAACTATACTTAAAAAAGGAAATGAAACTTTATACCTTGTCTTAACTGCAGAAATATACAGTAATAAGAAAACTTTAGAGGAAATAAAATTTATAAAGAAAAATTGTTCTGAAAATCATCAGAGGTGGGAACATGGAATTGTTGCTGGGAAACATTTTCTTTAGTAAAGGTTAGAAATTAAAAACTGGAAGAATTAGCAGCTATGTTATGCCCATCTTCATTAAAGGCAAAAGTCAAGCCTTACCCAATAATAATAGACAAGCTCATTACGTGATAATTTGTTTCACATGATTAACTTCTAGTGGCAAAAAATATTGCTGTGACTTTGTCATTCATTTGTCTGACATTAACAACAGATGAAATTTCATCATGAGGTAGAGCATACAACAGCACTTCTCATTGGCAATGCATCATGGACACTTTACTGACAATGAATCTGAACTCGCCCAGCATTATCTCAATTTTCTAGATGAATCAGTCCCTGTCTGGAATGCATTCAATGTCTCCCTACCACCAAACTTCTCAAATGGACTTTCAACTCATCATGTACTTTAACTGCCCTGCTGCAAAGACAAGAAATGCAAACATCTAAGCCTTCTTTAGAAACTGAACCCAAGCCCAATGATAAGGCAGCTGGAATCACTAACCATTACATCAAATAAGCAGCGTAAAGCAAAAGAGGGAATAACATAAACATCACACATTAGTGAAGTTTATATATAATGCTACTTTTAATTACATTTCCCTACACAGAAACTTATTAAAAAATATCTAATTATTATTTTTTCTTTCTTTCTTTGATAGCAAATCCAGTGGTCTTGGTAAAGATGTAAATAAATCATGTAATCTCATGGTGCATAGCATGGGAAAGAAGGATTAACAGTAGGACTATTAATCATCCTTCAAAATATATTTTTAAATAATAATCATAAGATTAAGAAATAATAACTTCAATACATGAGGATTATATAGACTTTTTTAATGCAGATCCCAGTTTTTTTAACCTTTTGAATTATTTTCAAAACAAAATTTATTACAAATTCAAGAAACACTTTAAATAATAATCATAAACTGCTTTTACGCACTGTCATTCATATAGAGGAAAGCATTTGTCACAAGAAGGAATGGGGAAAGAGCAGAAAATAATATCTACCTGTTCTTGTAGGAGACTGTACACCTGGTGTCTGTGGCCTGATTTGTATCAATTTAGAGTTCTGAGGTGTTGTCGTGACAGTCGCTGTAGGATTGGATACAAGGTTTGGAGATATTGCTACAGGTGATTGGAACTGAAAGAAGAAAATTGTTTAGGAATAATAACTTAATAATCATTAATAATTTGCTATTAAAACTTATAATCCAACAGAATTTAAATATCCAGAATAAAGGGGATCACAGCTTAAAAGGACTTAAAAAAAATATGGATGACAGCTTCACTCAATGTCAGAAATGACACCAAACTTCAAGCATTTGAAATCTGTATGGAAAATAACCCAGATAACTAGAATTCATTATACATATACACGTTATACTTCAGCACTCCAAAACTTAATTCCAGACATAGTTCTGAAAAAATAACAGTTAAAGTCAAAATAAAAAAATTACCTTAATCTGTGCTGTTTGGCCTTGTGAAACTAACTGAATTGTTCCAGGGGCAGCAATACTTGCAACTGTAGGCATTGAAATCGACATTGGAGTTGTAGCAGGTGATGCAAGTGTGGCAACTGCAGCTCCACCAGTAGTTACAGTTGATGGAGAAGCTAAAGATATTGCAGGTCGAAGGGTTGGTAGCTGTACAGCTGGATTTGCTTGAGTTGATTGAACAGCAGGTTGTTCAGGCTGAGTTTGCTGCACCGTAGGTAATGTAAGTAATTGCAACCTCCCATCTGATAACCTGATTAGCTGCTGACCTAAAGTAGAACCAAGATGCATGGCAATGATTAGCTTGAGTGTGCATTATCATTTTTTAAAATAAATTTTAATAATGTAAATGTTTATAGAATGGAAAACAAATCAACAACTTTTGCAATTATTACCAAAAATTCAGTATTTGCATAATACATTTAGTAATTCAGCAAAGAAAATGTTTTTGATTACATTTATCAATAAAATTCTATGGCAAAATTCACATTATTTTTTTACCATTTTCAAAGAGATATGAAATTTCATAACAATAAAAAATTAGTTAGTTAACAACCACAAAATTGAATAATAATAGTAAGAAAGATTTTGCTTCACAGGAAAATTTTTTTAGAATTAAACAACTGATGGGTACTTATTACTTTAATAATTTTCAGTTCTGTAACTATTTCATGGCAGTATGTGGAGGATATATCAATTAAAAATAAAACACACAGTACAAAAATAAACATAATTTAAATTACCTGGTAAAAGACCTCGAACCTGCAACTGTCCATTTGGCCCTTGTATCAGTTGTATTTGTGTCCGAATTGGATTAGCAGGTGTAGTAGGATTCTGGACAACAGGTGGACGAACAATCTGACCACCCAACTAAAAAAGTAATTTCAAATTCAGTAACAAATTTTAAGAAAATTAAAGTTTTATCATCCAAGAACAAACAAGTTTATAATAATAATAAAAATTAAGTACTAACCCTTAAAATTATGTCAATACTGAAAATGTATAAAACTATAATTTTGATATTATATAAAAATACCAAAATTAAAATGAACACTTACAGTTAAAACAGTGGGTCGGGCAGCAGCAGCAGCAGTAGTAGAATTAGCGGTGTTTGGAGTTCGTACAACAAGAGGTGTCTTTGGCAAAATTGTAGTTGTAATTGGAACTTTAGTATTAGTTGTTGAAAGAGAAGACAATGATTTCACTAATAAAAAAACAGAATCCGTCAATACATAATTATAATAAATTCATGTATCGTAATAAAATACAAACATTAATACAAAGTTACCAACAATACACACCTTCGGTTTTTGGAGTGCGACTAGTGAAAATTCTTCTAACCCCAGGGTAAGTCTTCGCATTTACAGCTGTTGTTGTAGCTGAAGTCACAGCAGAAGAAACTAACGAAATCTGAAAATAATAATTACTATAATATATAGTAAAAAATACACCACATAAAATAAAACCATCCTTTAGAGTTGCTTATATTTAAAGGGGAAAAAAAGTATATGAATTAGGAATAAAAAAATATAAATGCTGCAATTACTGAAAGTAGCCATCATATTTCTAAACACAGGCTTTCATTTTTCTTATGCTGGGTTTGAAGTATCAGTCTTTCAACAGTCACAAATAATTTTGGAAATGTAATTTACTAATACTAGTCACAGATAAAAACTTACTCCTTACACTTAAACTGAATGTGAAAAACAGCTTGAAATAACAAACTGCAAGATAGCAGATTGAAACAAACTTATAAGCATGAAGTCTGTGCTGCATAATTAAAAGGGGGATGAGGTGAAATGGAAGTGCTCCAAATTTGAATTCAAATTTGAATTTGTTCTGAAGTAAACAAAAGCTTGTTTCTGCCTTGTAGCGACTTTATAGTGATACCTGAAAAGAGACTAATAAGTGCTCTTTGTTTGCTCTAACATCTAATTGTTAAAATGCTTCATAACGTACTCAGATTCTTGGAAATATGCATAAGACAATTAAAAAGAAGAATTTGAGCATTTAAAAGTCAATGTCACAGATCCAGAAAACAGTGGCTGATCAAATACAGCGTCTTGTTTTTTAGCTCTACAAAAGGAACCATATTTAGCAAAACACAATTTTTCTAGATCATAAAATCATTTCTGGTTTGGCTAACAGAGTATTTCTCTTGCCATGCTTTTTTCAAAGTTTTTAGATATATTCCAGAGTTTGTTCCATGACTTTTAGTATTTACTACATATACTTCATGGTTTGTTGCTGTGTTCACTTTAAGGTTAAGGTTAGAATAAGATGCCCGTTACTGTTTAATGAGATATTATGAATAAAAAATAAGACTAGGATATGACTATATTCATGCACAACATTTTCATCTCGTGCATTTTATAAGATACTGATCACATCAAGTAGTTAAGAGTTGGATAAGTTTATTACAGTAAAAGATACGAGCACTTGAGATGGACATATTTTATGGAATTTTACTTCAGATTTTACCCACAATCAGTGGGTTGAATTTTATATGAAACGGATTCACAAGACAGAACTTCCTTAATTTTTAAAACAACATTAAAGGTTTTTATATAGTTTCTCATGCAAAGGCAACTTGTAACAGCATTAATGTACAGTCACTCAGAAAAACGGGGACAGTTCTATAACTCCCGTTCTACAAGGCTGATCAACAAAATTCAATTTGTGTTTTTCATGTCTTGAAAAATAATTTACGATCTACATTAGATTTATACATAGCATTGTTCTAACATATGTATTTTGATACAAAATCATATTTTTTATCTGAAATGACATGCCAATTTTTTTAAACATAATTCATTCTACGACTTAAATTATGCGTAAATACCAAATTTGAGATATTCAAAAATTTATATCTTAATTTATCTTTGAAACATGCACAATAAATTTTGTTGTATTTAAAATGAAGTAAAGTTGCAGATGATAAAAATAAATAGATAAATAAAACATTAAAGATTTGATTAATATTCTTTATAATTTAAAAAACAGCTCTTCAAATAGCATTAATAAATATTTATTATGGCTCATTAATAAAACTGAGGGTAAAATTCCACATGATTCATTTTTCATAAAAATTTATTCGGAAATCTAAGGCAAAAAATAACTGTGGCAATTCAATGTACATTGTAACAAAATCCATACACCAAATTGGGTGTTATCATTTAAAACAAAGTGCCAGATTTCAGAAACATGTCATATATTCACTCTATCTTCAGAAATTTCGAATTAAAACTGTCATTTTTCGCAGCTATGCATAGAAATACATCTATTTTAAGATGATGGTACAAAATTTATAGATTATAATCAAATTTTTTGGAAAAATTTATTAAAACTATTAAAAAATAAATATTTAAAAAATAAATCAGAAAAATGTGTAAATTTTACTTGGACTGAACCTAAATTTTGAATTCTGAAAGTACAAATGAAGTAATTTAAAAATATTTATAAATATATACCAAATTCAATTAATATTGAGCAATTAAAATTTCAGAGCTACTCATGCGATTTTTACAAAACTTCGCATTTTGATAAATTTTGATTTGATAATTTCGCAAAATATAGAAAACAATGGGTATGTGATTTCAGAAAAAGTGTGATTTTGTATCAAAATACTATGTTAGAACAATGCTATATATAAATTTAATATGTATCCTAAGTCGCACCTTCCGGGTATGAAAAACTCAAGTTGAATTTCAAAAATTGGATGCATAGAACAGTCTTCCCCTTTTTTTGACTGGTTGTACATAAGATTCTTTAAAAAGGAAGCAAAGTATCACTATATACTAATCATGATATTTTTGGCCAAAAAAAAGGAAAATTCTCAGAAATTTATCTAAAAATCTATCCAAATTTACACGACATATTAATGTATTATTTTTACATCATCTTAGCAAATATCCAGACTGGTTGTCAAACACTGAAATATAAAAGTACCAATGCAAATATAGAACATCATAGTTCATTACCATAAAAATCTAACAACATTTAATGACAGACTTCTCTGCTTCAAAAATCAAAGACATCATAATCTCAAAGCAAAAATTTAAATTTAAACTGTATACTGTGTAGACTGTAAACTAATTCCAAATAAATATGACAGTGCTATGCTACACATTTTGCAACTTTCTGTCAGCAATATCAGCTTGAAAAACATCCCAGTCATCATGATCTCAACAACAAAAGATCTGTCAAAATAAAAACTAAAATTATATAAAAATGAAATCTGAGATAAGTGTAAATTCTGAATAAAAGTTTATGTTCAAGATGATTTGACATAAGTTTTTCCTTTTCAGAAGGAAGTCGGAAGAATTCCCAGAAGAAAAAGAACCAATGTCAGACACTTTTGAAATTGACAACTCGCCCCCCCCCAAATCTACAACAATCTAAGATTGTTTTCTCACCTAATTTTTATGTCAAATGAGATTCTGAATGTTCGGTATTTTTACATTTAGATTATAAGCTTAAAGCATTTCAACACATTTCAATAAAGGAAAATACCTTTCACACTCGTTTAAATATTTCTGCCAAATTTAATTATTAAACATCTACCAACACAACACTAATTTTTTCTTATTAGTTAACATAATATATTTTAACTTGCATAGCCATGCAAAAATTAAAAATTCGAAAAAGGGGTGGGAAGAAAACTAGTGATGTGAGAAGCAAGGTTTAATAATTTATAAAGAGTAGATAATAATGACAAAATGATAAAATACATAAAAATCACAACTTTAAATTAGCAAACTGAAGAAAGCCAAATTATGAAAGGGGCATAAGCACAAATGCCCAATGCAGCGACTAAAACAAAAATAAACTGTTTATTAGTAACTTTGTAAAGAAAAATACATGCAGATTACAAAGCTAAAATTGTTCCATTTTCTGAAAAAAAAAAAAAAAAAAAAAGTTATCAATCTGCTTATAAAATTCCCCTCTCCAAAACTAAAAGGAACAAACTGCTTAAACCATAAAGAATGAAAAATTATGCTCATTACTAAGCAAAACTGAATGGATTACAGCTTCCTTTAATGAATTCTCCTCTCATAAGTGAGTTAAAGTGCAACAGGCTCAGCAAGCAGGATATTCTATGACCTACATTCAAGCCATCTTAGACATGCTCACGCGACCTAAATATGTTTACCTTTGTTACAGTCGCAGAAGTAGATGTCGTAGAGGAAGTTACAGAGCTTATTTTTGTGGTTTTGGGATTAGAAGAGAGAGTTACTTTATTTGGAAGTTTAGATGCTTGTCCAGATGATTCCAGAAGTCTTTTTTGCTGTAATGCTAGTCTCTGTTGCACAAGCTGGGCTTCCATTTGAGCCTTGATCTTCTCGGCACTCTGCTGTGCCTGCTGATGTGCTTGTCGATCTCTCAAATGTTCCCTCTTCTTTTTTTCAACCCTTAATAGATTAGACAGAAGGGAGGAAAAAATTTAATTTTATAAAACTACAGATTCTAACAAACATTTCAGATTTGAAAATTAACATTACAGTACTATATATATAGCAAAGAATACATGTTCAAAATAAAATCTGGAAAATTACTATCACAGAATTTATATAAATAAAAACATTTACTTAATATCAAATTTATAATAAAGAAATTACATACGAAGCAAAACATGCCAGATATTAACAATAACCAAAAACTCAGAAATATTAGAAGAATTAAAAAACAATAAAATTTACTTCAGCAATACATATTTTTAATAAAATATCACTACTAACATTTCCCCAAATTCTCTGATTTCCCATAGATCCAGATCTTCTTCTGGGACCCAGCTTTCTGATACAGTAGGTAATCTATTTTCTGGAGATTCAGGTCTTCGCCTTTCTCGCAAACCACTTCTCTGTGGCGTGGATTTTACTATAATAAATATTACAAATATAAAACGTAATCTACCGTATATACATCTGAGATTTCATGTTAAACAAATTTTGAAACAAAATAGGATTATTTTGGCTACTCAAAATATCATAATACTTTAGTTTTAAAAGAACTAAATGCATATTTAATGCTAAAACATCTGTGGATGAGCTTACAACCTAATGCATCAGTAAACAAGTAAGCTTATTAGTAGCTCAGAATTCAAACTAACAGAGCGGTATTTAAATAACTTGTAAAGATAGTATAACCATTTTCTTTTCTTCAACAAAATCCAAATTGGCAGATGCAAGACAGAAAGAGATCTCTATATCATGTACTTAGAATTGCATTCTTCATTCCAATTAGTTATGGAAAAAGAATGCAAAGGTTATCTGCCTAGGGAAAACCATGCCTCCATGTAGCACTTGTTCTCAGAGAAACTAATTCATATTCATTCAAGGGGAAATCACGAAAACATTCAGCCTACCTAACAAGGAATTACTATATTGAAAAATGAGATATATATTTTTTTCAAAAGAGATCAATTTTATTCAAGTATACTTGCTAACAAAAGTACACTATCTGCATAACAGTGATGGGTGACATCGAAGGTGACTTTTGTCTTTACCCAAAATCAGTAAATTATCATTTATTATCGTTTAGGATGCACGATCTCAACTGTACAGTATGAAACCCCATGCTCCAGCAGATAAATTTTTGGAAGGCATTAAAGGTTTCATCCCACAATCTCTTTAAGCTTTACAGATGCTGTAGTGATAAGCAAGGAGAAAAATATTGACAAATGTAGGAAGAAATACTTTCAATAGCCTACTGCTTACTTACTGGCAGTAGTAGTGAGGCCAATCAGATACATTTCCTCTGCAAGTGAGAGTGGCAGCATTTTTGTATAGAAAATACAAATTGCACAGGTTGCTTAATATGCTGAGATCATTAGGATTTTGCTCATCATACACAGAAGCCTCATGGCGTCACAGACAGGTCTCATCACCTGTTACGATCTGTTCCATGAAAGCAGGGTCTTCCTGATACCGAAACAGATGTTGCAGAGCTAGCCCCATACAAAGTTCCTTTTGCTAGTCGGTGAACTGCTTCGGAACCCAAACGGCACACACCTTCCGATATCGCCACCTGTCGTGAACAATTGTCCACATGGTTCCATAGCTGACATCCACCTGCACTGCCAACATTCGCAATGTGACACGCTGATCACTTCTCACTAGGTCGTCCACTTTGTCGATGAGATCACTCGTGATGACAGCGTTTGCCTGGCCTGGTCTCGTCTCATCTTCCACACTCTCATGGCCTGCACGAAAACGGGCACTCCATTTTCTGACAGACTTGACAGAGACACATTTCTCCCCGTAAACTATCACCATCCGGTGATGAACAGCTGCCGGTTTCTCACCTTCCGCTGTCGGAAATCAGATAACATCTCGCTGCTCCTCAGTCGTCGAATTTTGCAACGCGAATGCCATCCTGTCCTCATACAGACTGCCGCATCATTTGGACGCCGCTTTTGATAACAGCCTCTACTCTCTCCTGCACATGCGGGAGACCGTGCATGCTCCAATCGCATCCCGAGATGTCTCGCTATGTTTTCCCATGGTGGAATATGCAAATATTTAACTGTTACATTTTTACGTCGTTTGGTACCTTTTCATTTGATCACTCCTTGTATTTCAAACACAAACATATTCCCCTATTTACTCGACATATAACAAATTGTATCCTGTAGCATGGTACAAACATACAAGCTAACAAATAACAACTAGGTACCTCATTCACGTTTGACAAATTACAGTACAAAATTAGTCTAGTATAACATTATTTCACTCAAAACATTTAAGTTTCATTTACTGTTCACAAAGGGAGTAGTAGCACGTTTCTCCATAAACTAGTGGGTCTGCCGACAATGTACCTCACTCACAATAGTTAATTCCATTAATGTGACCTAAGAATACCAGACATTCATAAAATAATCAGTTTCACCATATGACACTGATATTACAGCACCACTGCAGAGTTAGATAGGCACTTTTCACAGAGAGCCAAAAAGGAGTCTTTTTTATCCCACTCCAGCTGCATCCTAGATTGTTTGAACATAAAACTTAACATATGCATTTTGTAGGAAATTGAATCTACTTTAATTTTGCATAGGCTATTAAATAAAGCTCCCGGCCATAAGATTTTGCATAGAATGGTCAACTACGAAAAATGCTTAGTTTTTAAATAAAAATTGAAAAAAATGCCAAAATGATTAGGTTTTTTTTTAAATTTTATTTTCGTTGTGAAGCCCGCCGCTTCAAAGAGGCAAACTTAAAATTTGGATTCGACACATGAAAGAAAAAACATACAGAACAGGAGGGGGGGTCTCGATTTTTTCCTGAAAAGACTCTTTGAGCATTTCATGACTAGATCAATAGAAATAAAGCACTTTGACTGAAAAGGTGCCTCAGATTACTATACAACAAGTTTCTTTTCAGGATCTCAAAAAGCATATGTTTGAATATAGGTCTATTGAAGAATTAGTAAGATAAAAAACAAACTATGATGTTTGGAACACAGATGAACTATTCAAAGATGTGTGACCAAGATGCCTTTATCCCTCCCCAAAAGGATAGAGAGAATAAGCTAATACATGATGTTCAAAATATGTTTTAATAACTGCCAACATATTTGTTAATGGCTATTTTAAAAATAACCATTAAGAATTACATTTTAAATTATTAAATTTGTTTGATCACCAACAAGCTACATTAATTTAAAAGATAAATTAAAGCTCTTATGCAGTGTGAATCAGGAAAAGCTCTCACAGCTGCCAATCTGCAATGCTGTTGTAAAGACAAATGGATGATGATTTGGAAAAGTAATATAATGCAAGAAAATTAAGCACACTACAAATAATCAAAAAGAAAGAAATTTTCAATGTATGATATATTAATAATAAATAAGGCTTATTATATTAGAGACTTATGTCTAATTTGCTTTCAAAATCCACAAGTTTGTATTCAAAAATCACCATTCTAAGATTTTCCTTTTTTTTTTGACCTATTTAAAATTTTTCATTGATATGATTCTTTTCTAGTTGAATTAAATAAGACATTTTGTAATTCTTCATGCAAATATTTTTTATCATGCCTAATAAATAATCTAAAAAGAAATAATCATACCTCTCGGTTTGGAAGGAAGATCAATAGGTACTGTTATCCTGCGGACCAAGTACTCAGAACGGAGACCAAACATTCCTACATCTCGCCGCTGAAGCAATTCAACAGTCTGGACTTCAGTTTCTGTAGAGATAGTATTTGTTCCACTAGGAGGTGGTTTAGCTTGAACATCATCCCAACGAATGCATGCCCATATGACACGCAACTGTAAAGCTGCTTCATGAATACTAGACAATGTCTGAGTTCTGAACTGCCATGCAGTTTTGAAAGATGGCCGTGGGCATGTGCCATAAGGCCAAATATACTGATTATTTTTAGCATTATAATTGAAACCCGATGCTTCACGAAACCCAGCCTTCCTACAAACACGGCGCAATTCATGGGGTGGTAAGGCAAGAATACTTTTGATTTTTGAAGGGGTGGTAAATCTATTACAAGGAGGCAATACACCTTTGCCCATTTTCTTTACTTTTTTAGTAGTCCTAACCTTTCCAAGGAATGCTTTTCCTTTAGTACTATTATCCTTAGAGGAAGGAATATTATACTTTGTATCACAATTTGAATTGCCCTCTTTAGATTCACTTTCTTCGATATCCATTTTCTCAACTTTAGGAATGATTGGTTGAAGAGGAGGAGGTGAACTCCTAGCTGTTTTAGTTTCATTATTTAATACACCACAATTGCTTATTTGTTTTATAAGAACAGTTTCAGTACCAGAAGCATCTTTAACAGAAATTAATTTTTTATCAATACCAGTAGCATTGATGAAGTTAAATTTTGCTACTGCTTGATCAGATGCCTTCCTCACTATTATGACCTGGCTAGCTTTAAAAGTCCGACATGATGGTGAATAACAGTTGCACTGGACACCAAGTTTAGGCTGTGCATTTTCAAGGCGGCAAAGAGGAGAATAACATTTTCTTGGTGATCTCAAAAATGAAGAACCTGCTAATTTTAAAGGAGATTCAGTCTCTTCAGCACTACTAAATTCTCCATTCGACACATTTTTAGTAGGTTTTGGTTTAAACATATCCCTGCGACCAAGTTTATTAGCAATAGCTCTCGAAATTTCAGTTGCTGTTGCACCCTTTTTAACAAGTAGTCTTACACTATGCTGTGTAGCTAAATTGCCTGGTTTGACTTCTAACTTCACTCCATTAGAAACATTTTTCTTCTCTACTTGCTCAGGTGACTTATCTTGGGTTTCGATAGTTTTTAACCGAATATCCAAATATTCATCTAACTTGCTAGGTTTTGGTAGCCTGGGATATGTAACTCTAACACTTTCTGTCAGAGCTTCTGACACATTTATTAAATCAATATCTAATTCTGGATTTAGTTTATATGATGTTAAGATACCAGCATTTTGGGGAATATACTTTTTTTTAAATCTAATAGTAGAAATCTTTGCACCACAGCCTTCATCTTTATCGACAAATTCTTCTTTGATATTTTCTACATTTACAGCATCTATTTCCATTGAGTTATTTAGGGCTTCATTCTCAATTATATTGGATTTTAACTCTCCACATGATGCCAGATCGTGGAATGCAAATGGCTTCTGTTCAGATTCTTCAGGTACTGTTTTCAAGTAATCTTTTGTATCCATCACTTTTGGTTCACTACCCTTCTCACAAACAACAACTTTATGAGGTCCAGCTCTTAAAGCAAGTTCAGCGCAAGGTTTATATCTGTAAGTTCGAGTATAACTAACATACTGCCAACCTCCTTGGCCTGTTACACGGTATTCTTCCCCTTTTTGCTTCCAAACCTAGAAAAAGCAATTTATAGTAATAAGAAATTTAAATGAAACTAATGACATATTATAACCAGGACATTAAAAATGTTATGCTAAAATTATACACTTCTGAACATAAGCTAATCCATAAAAGACAGCTACGATTTTACTGCACAAGTTCAGACAAATTTGAAAGTTTGTAAAGGTATATGTAAGTCAAACTAAATGTCCTGTAAATCCAGCTATATACTCCCAAAAGTGAGCATAATTGGTCATATAACTAAGCTAGATCTATTAGATTAGCTAAAGGTCTCGTGTCAAGATCTCATCCATTTTAAAAAGTTGGATGAGAGCAGAATGAAAGGTCACTTTTAGCACAAATGCTCTCTTTTTTTCCGTTTTCCCAAACTTGTGACATGCACATCAGCTAGTGCTTTTGTAAAACCATGGCAAATGCACTCTGATTTCCAGCTATGGTAATCATTCTCAAGCAACCATGAGAAAATTTTTTCCCTCAGTTGCACTTCTGTTTTTATGAGTAAAATATAATTCTTATTTATAGTAAAATATTCTTCTTCCAATTTAAATTTATGATATTCGTGTTATAAAATAAAATTTATGGCAAAATATTGTTAATAAATCCAGGTAAAATTAATTTTCTAATAATTAATTTATGCTATATTGATCACATTTAAGATAAAAGGATCTATCTCATCTATCAATGATTGACATCAATCTCTTTCTGTATCACAGACATGATTTCATTGAAACTGCAAAAATAACACTTAGACGAAGTTTTTCTTTGAAGTATTAAAAAAGCGCAATTTCATTTTGATCATATTGCTAAACACTATTTTATCAATAAAACAAAGCTCAAAATATCAAATGCGCTAACTTTCAAAATAAAATGAGGTAAAAAAATACCTGATGTTTCAATCCCAATGTATATTTCACCCATATTGTTCTATCCACTTCGTCATCATTCCCTTCTCGCTTTTCACGTTTTTCTTGCTTTTTTCGCTCATCACGATCCACAGCAGTTGTACGTTGTAATCTTACATGACCTGATTAGTTAAGAGAAAAGAGAAAGATTTCCCTTATTAAAAGTCATATTTAACTTTTATTAAAAAGCATCAATGTGCAAGAAACATTTTTAGAAACTTCAGAAATATCTGTCTACACATATTTACAAATACATACATATATTATCATTTCGTTACTTGCTTAGGTAATGACAAAATATTAGCAAAAGAATAATGTAACATAATTCACACTACAGTAAATAACTTTTTTGATGAAAAAAGTAGCACAACTTTGCTCAAAATAAATCCTAAGGTAATACATAATTTAAGTACATAAGGTAGAAAATATATTAAATATTCATTAATGAGAAATAAATAGAAAATTTAAATTAATTAAAGTAAATTATTCCAGAAGTATATGTAACAAGAAAAAAAATTCAGATCAATAAGAAAAATCTAAACGGAACTTGGCGATCAATCAATGCTTTCACAGCAAATATTTAACTAGCTTCCTTTTTATCTTAAATGTCAACTCAGGTTTATCATGAGGTTTAGCAACAATGAGGTTTGATGAACATACAAAAATTCCCATAATCCAATTTAAAAGATTTAATTCCCATAATCCAATTTAAAAGATTTTTAAAGTGCATCAAAAGTATGCAGTAAAATAAACCAATTATGATAAGAAGTAACCACTTGATTCAAGTTTTTTGCCCTCTCCCCTATTACCATTTAAGAAGTCCGGCATTCACATTATTTTGCAGGAACAGAATTCAGTCTAATACTAAAACAATAACAAACGTATGAAAAATATTTTAATTGCTATGCTACAGCACAAAAACACTTACAACTCTTGAAAGGTTCTACCTGAAGAGGCACTGACAGGAGGCTACTAATCGGCCACTGGTAGGCCCTATGCTGGTTAATTCCATGTATGAAAGAAAGGAAGTATTAAAGTATCATTAATGATTCATGATTGTTTCTATGTACCATAATAAACTATTGTATTTAATTTCGTACTTTGTTTTTCATTCCAATCAGAATTCTGTCTCATCAAATATTCACTTGCACTTTTATCATCTGTACTGCACACCTTGCTGCATTGGGAGTCATATTTTTGAACAAATACAGTTTACAAAAAATTAAGCACCATGAAGGCAGTGGTTGTTTTTGATGAAATTGAATATGTGTATAGCTCATACACAGATAATAAAATGATTAAAAAATCAAGGTCATAGTACCTGTTCACGGCTCACAATAACCCATTGAGTGTTTAAATTAGTAGTTAGCAATGCATGCTTTAACTCGTCGAGGCAACGAGTGATAGAGGTTCTTAATGTCATCCTGCGACACATTCTGCTAGAGATTCATCAGCTGTCCGCCAATCTGAGATATTATGACGCTGAATCTGGTGCGTTCCATGTCTCACACATTCTCACTGTTGAAGGTCTGTGGCGCCCTGCTGGCCAAGAATAGTAGCAACCGCAACGAGACAGTCCAGAATATGAGAGCGTAATGTGGTTTGGCCTTGTTGGAAATGGCCCTAGAATGATTGCCAAGGGAATTCAACCACTGCAGGATGGTATCAACATAATTGTTCTGTTAAAGATGTACAGAGGATGACTAAGATGACCTGCTTCATCGAAATGCACCTCCTCCATCTCATAGTATATAGCTGTATGCCTTTGTAAAACAAAGGCTGATTGGGACTGCTGCCCTGTCCTCTCTAGACATGAACACGGTCATATGCTTCAAGAATGAAGCGGGATTCATCGCTGAACACCATACGATGCCAGTCTGATGGCAGCCATGATGATCGATTGCGACAATGCTCCAGACAACTCCGCCGATGTTGTGGGGTCCAAGGCAAACGTTCCCCCACTTCAGACAAGCGGCATGAGATAGTGGACGGTACCAAGGGAGATAAAGACGCGGCTATAGTGCGTTGAATAGTTGACAATAATACCATTGGGGCAGTTCGAGCCTGGCGAACAGTCATCCTATATTGCCTTGCATTTGTGCTCCTTGACCTTCCAGAGCATTTATTTCATCGGCAATATCCTTGTAGCAACCATTGCTGCCAACATCTTTGCACAGCAATGTCTAAATGCTGCAACTGGCGGCCTATTGCTAGTTATGACCACCCAGCTTCACGCCACCCTACAATGCGACCACGTTTGAAGTCGTTCAGTTGTCTGTAAGGTCTTCGATATCGTCGTAATGGCATCTTTAGTTGCTTCTTTATAGAATTACAATGGCAGCAACAAAAAAAGATAAATTTTCTGCCTCTGTTACTGGTTTTATACTTTGCGACTTGCGCACTAGAAATGAGCGCAATTCCTGTTCATTTCCTCGAAACTTTGGTCATTAGAATGTTCGATCAAGATGTTTTTGCATACCAAATTTTGTCACGATCACAAAAGTCCTACTTGGTGCTTCGATTTTTTTTTTGCAAAAGGGTGTATATGTATGCATAAAAATGGAATTAAATAAACAAGTATGTTTAAGCTTCTAGAAAAAAAAAATATTTTGAAAGAAAAGCTGACAAAATAATAATAATCAGTTAAATTCTAATCATATTTTTTAAATGTGCAAGAACAAAGAAAGGGAGAAGGGCAGTAGATAGGGGTTGACACCTATCAGAAAACTAAAATTAAAATCTCCTGGCTCCGGAAGGATAAAATAAATATTACTCTCAAGAAATCAGTTCCTGACAATAACGATACAACGCCACGGATGAAATGGTTGACAGCATAGAAAATCAACATACCACCACAACAGCCCACAAAGAATGTCTAGATATATTTTCCGAGCAATCTAACGGTGAGTAAGCAGTTGTGATGAATTGAGCCGGTGGTCACGTGATGACCCCTCCACCCCTCATTTTCAATCCATCTTCATTAGTATGCAGTAGTAGTATAGTACAAAACATTTGATTAAAAAAAAAAAAGACAAAGATGGACATGTGTCACGTGTGCTAACTAATTGGCTTATGAAAATACAAAACTAAGAGATGTAAATATGTCGTTAAAACAATTAATAAGCATGAGGGGTTAAGCTATAAATAACTGTACACCTCCCAAGAAACCGAATCGTTAATATTGAGGGCCTTCGCAATTGGTCAAAATTTCGTGAGGAAATTTCAAAAAGAATACAATTATAAGCAATTTGAAATTACTCAGCTATCGTGGGATTAAGCCACATCATAGTTTAATATTGAAAACAAATTGTTATAGCACTCTTCCAGATCTTTCTTTGGCAAAGATTTCTTGCGTGGAAAAAAGACAATATTTGGAGAGTGTGCTGCTCCTGCACTCAAAAAACTCTTAAATGAATTAAGAAGCCGTTTTTCAGTCAAATGCGATAAAGACACGTAAAAAAGTTAGTCGTGCATTTTTCATAAGAAAGTGGGATAATACACGGACTCTGATTTTACGTGATCCCAAAAAAGTGGCGAGATTAAAAACAAGATTTGTTGAGTTCTCGTCGAAATAATTTAGATATAACAATAAACGTTTGTTGATAATGCGTCTGTCAATTATGGCATAAATAATTCTGTGTATCAAAACTTTGACACATGAAAACATTTAAAAGCAACGTAAATGCCATATTACAGAACTGCACAAATTTGCATTAAAAGGCAAAAATCGACGTTGAAGCCTTAGTCTTGAAAGTTTATAGTGAATTTTCAGCATATGCTAAACGAACAGAGACTCTGAAAGCTTTCCACGCATTTTTAAATATTGAGAATCACGATATTTTACACCATATGTCAAACCAGATGGCTATCTTTATTGAGAGCGATAGAGTGTTTGCTTTGTAACTGGTCAGCTTTACAGGCATATTTTATTGAAGAAGGAGAAGAAGAATGTAATACAATTATTTAGCAAGCATTTAAAGATGAAAACTCACTGCCTTTGTGTTACTGTTACTTTTTGCACAACGTTATGCAAATTTTCGATAATGAAATTAAAATCATCGAAAGTGATTTTGTTACTTGGGCAGAACTGCACGATGTTATACTTCAAATCCGCTGAAAAATAAGAAAAAGAAAAAATATGACCAATTTTTGGTAGTTCAGTAAGAGATTTTTTTAAACAAATTAAATTAAACGGACAAGGCTATGTTTATAAAGAGCAGACATTTCTTTGAGAGATGTTTAGATTACCTGAAAAAACGGTATGATTTTTGAAATTCGAGTATAGTAAATTGAGCTACTTTCAATGAAAAAACGATTATGTGGGATGCTTTGAGAGACTTGGCCATTGATAAATTGAGCATATTTTTAATGAAAAAGCTTATGTGGGAGCTTTGAGAGACTTGGCCATTGATTTAAAGATCACTTTTGTGAATAACTTTACGAAGATTTCTGCATTTTGAGGAAGGTTCAAGACAGCATGTTAAATAAAATGTAAGAGTTGATCTGAGGGGAAAATTTTCTCACAGTCGAAAATAGAGTTGGAGAAATGTTTAAGAAAGTAGTTTCATCGTTTTGTTAATACCTGATCAAACGCTGCCTGCGAGCGTGTTTTTCAGTATCATTCGATATATGGACTAAGAAAAGAAACCGTTTAAATGAAGAACATGTCAAGGCAGAAATCCTAACATTCTTCAATTTTAAAATGGACTGCAAAGAGTTTTTTTAATTTGTTAGTTCCAGACCAGATATTTTGAAATCCGTACGATCAAATGCAAAATATAAGTTCAAAATAAAGTAAAAAGTTATGAAAACTGATATTTTTTTTCCTCTCACGGATTTTGACAGCCAAGAGGTGGCAACCCCAGCAGTAGCACAAATCTTAGTAACAGAGGGTTAAAGCGATCTCTCTGATGCAAAATGGCGCAAGTTCTCTATTTATAGAAGCAGTTATGTAGCAGGCTGGAATGTTCTTGAAAGTACTGGTCTAGGGGGAAGATCCTAAACTGCAGTTTAGGATCTTCCCCCTAGACCTAGTTAGTTAGTTAATTAGACTAGAAGTTAATTAAAGCTTGCTGGTTCACATAGAGCAAAGCCGTCCTATTTTTTATATTTTACATCTAAAAGGGCAGTAGCACAGATCTTACTAGCAGAGGGTGAAAGCGATCTCTCTGACGCAAAATGGCACAAGTTCTCTATTTATAGAAGCGGTTACATAATAGGCTGAAATGTTCTCAAAAGTACTGGTCTAGAGGGAAGATCCTCAATTGCAAAAAGTTAATTAAAGGTTGCTGGTTCATAGAGCAAAGACGTCCTATTTTTTATATTTACATATAATTATATTTTTAGCATAGGTATGTCCAGATGCACACGGTTTATTTTATCTCTTTTTCTGTGTATGGATGAAATATGTATAATGACAAGCATGTCCACTGTAAATAAAACAGTTTGGTTTTGGGGTTTTTAACTCTGACCAAGAAAAAAAAAAAAAAAATTCATAATTAATTAATACTTTTTTTTTTGTATTCTCTGTATTGCTCATAACACACACACATTTTGTCTTGTCTGTGCAACTTTCGAAATGATGTGTGCCATTATAAAAAATGAACATATCAGCAAAAGTCAAAAAAATTTTACTAACATTAAAACACTAAACAGAATTCTAATTTCTAGTTACTTAATTCTGACTGTGATGCAAGACAAAATAATTGATCCTTGCCAAAACATAGCCTAACTGTTAAGAATGAGGAATAATGAGTAGCCACAGACCACCCACAGATCTCTTTTGTCAGCTAAAGCAATAAAAGATGAGAGATTTCTGTAAGATTGGAAGAAATAACTCATATTAACAAAACATAAAATTACTAATAACAATTTACATGCATTTTTACATTAACCCATTCAGTACCGGCGTGTCATATACGCATCAGCATCAAACATTATCTTACCCTTCGGGTTTGTCATATTTGATTCCCCATTTAGATTTAGTTCACTTCTATGGCTGTACCATATTTGACTTTTTTGATAGAACATTTAATTAGTATTTTTTATTGCCGCTAGATGTAGCTGTATGTCTGTTATGGTGAAATATATCAAAATTATGTTTACCTTCATTCCTACCCAATGTTTTTTATTTTTGGTATTTTGTTTAGGAATGAGAGTGAGATTTGTGGGTAGGTGTTGAGCAATGTAATGTCTCTTTAGCTGCCTCATTTGATATAAACAAATGCACACTTTTTATTTTTATTTTTGCCATAAGTTCTATCATTAGAGATTTTTTTATTACTCTTAGATTTTTGGGATGGCAAACGAAAGCAGTATCTAAAACTAGAATAGAAAGCAGTATGTAAACCTACAACATACACAAATGCTCATTTGTTAGTGTTGAGTAATGTATTGGCTCTTACTATGCTCTGAAACTTTTAATTTATATATTAATTTTTCTTCTATTTTTTAATTATTTTATATCTTTTTAGTGGAGTATATGTTCTATCATTAGAGACTTTTTTGTTACTCTTTTGAGTTTTTCCCACATTGAGACAATATTTTGGATCCCTTAGCCAAAGCTCTTTTTTTTTTCCCTAATGGCAACGAAAGCATTATCTGACCATAGAACATATAGAAATGTAAATGAGTCAAATTTGCTGAGTTAAATAGCAGCAATATTATATTCTGGACATATGCGACGTTGGACTTTGCATACACCCAGTTTCAAAGACTATCGGCTCATTTTTGAATTTTGCTTACTTTCATTGTGCTCGTTGAATTTTTATGAAAGGCAGTTTTAAATTTTTTTAATTTTATTTGTGTTGTGCTAAATAAAATCTGTGATTGTTTGGATATTTTTCCATATTATTTGTGGGATAAGGGGGAAATTATATTATTCTAGAATGAGTATTTTATAAAATTTTTAAAAAAATATATAATAATAAATTCTTAAAATTAATTCTGACAACTACCTGAATATTCTTCTCATAATGTACCAAAAATTGGAACAACTGGATGAAAAATTTAATTTATACAAATTTTTTCCCAAAGTTAGGCTTAGCAGCGCAAATTGCCCGTCACCACAAGATGACGCATCCGGTTAACGTGCTGTCCCAAGACAACACTTTGGTAACAGAAATGTCCTTGTGAATGGGTTAAGTTCACTTGTGAAGACATTATTTTGTCTTCAAAAAATAATTGGTTACATAAATGGTGGTTGATGTTTCCCACAACTCTGCAATAAGGAAAATAAAAGTTTCTTTTTCTTTTTTTTTTTTTTTTTTTACTTTTTTAAATACAGGGCAGTTAATCAGGAGCTGACTGTATTTAAATACACAAAAAATATTGGTCATAGATTAGTTCATCTAATTCATTTGAGTTAATAATACACCAGAATTCTAGATATTTGAACTTTTATCAATCTAAATAGACATTATTTTGTTAAAAATTAATGACATTTAACTTTTAATGATGCTTACCTAATGAATCATTCCACACAGATGTAAACAGGACAGGTTTCATGACTGCTTCCAAAATACTCAGTGCTAAAGCAAATTCTTTTGGAAATGTACATTTATTAACAGCTTTTAGCCAATTACTACGGTGAATAGTCCAATATGCATGAAGTAAATATGCTGGAATGTTATTCTCAAGTTGCAGTACAGCTTGTCGAAGAGTAGCTACAGTAAACCCACGATCCCCATGCGTTGTTCCTTGCCATTTGAATTCACTAGCAGGTGTTAGACTAAATTTATGTGAAAGGTGCCTTCTTTTGTCTCTATCTTCTGCATGCTGATGTTTGTTTAAGGCTAATGTATTAATAGCGAACTGGTTCATGTAATTCTTGCCACTACTTTCCATTCCCAACTTGAACAATGTTGGTGTGGATGAATTAGATGCATTACTCTTTGATCGGGTAGTCATACGTGTTATTTCTCCGTCTTTGCTGACAATTATTATCGATTCTTCTCCATTCTTCCGAGTAGTGGTTTTCACAAAATTCTCGAATGAGAAATTTCTTGGTGTGAGAGCTCCAGTCTTTGATCGTGTTACAATACCACCTTTTTGACTGTCAGCTACATTAAAGAATAAAAAAAAATTAATACATTTTCAATATATTAAGTAGCATATAAGCTCATATAAAAATTCAATTTACTTTAGACATTAAGTGAAAATAATCACTGAATTTTTTAGAACTGCATTAGTAGAAATCAGAATCACTTTACTAGCTTCTTGCAAATCTAATCGACAGTTCCTATTTCCTGTAAGATTCCTTCATATTTATAATAAAATATTATGCTTGGTTACAATACTGTTACGAAATGTCCAAGCATGGTAAGATAGCTTCCCCGCAAAGCAGGTTTAGGGTTGCCATAAAATGGCAAGAAAGGCACGGTTGCCACATTTGGCAACAAAATTGGCGATGTGCCATGGACGGATTGAGAACCTTCTGGAATGAATTCTTATCGGTTTAGCCCAGAATGTTCTCGAACATAAGACGAAAGCTATATAAACCCTGCTGGCCAGAGTCAGTTAGTTAGTATCGAGTTGATGTCTCATCTAGCAAATCAATCCCCATGGAGTCGATCGAGTTGATAGCTGGGCAGCAAGTTCCGAGTGGTCGTTGAGTTCACCGAAGGAGTCTCTTAGTGTATCGCGGTTAGTGCATTGTCGAGAGAGCGTCTTGAGCTCCGGCAACGACTGAACCGAATAGTCAGGAGCTGTGCTCTGTGTGTCGTCAAGTGCATCGCGAGTTGTAGCGCGGATTCCACGTGAAACCCACGCATTCTGAGTCTCGAGAATACGTGGAGTTACGAGAACGACCGAGCAGAGTCGGGAGCTGTACTCTGGTGCTTTTCAGTGAAGCTGTCTCCACCGTGATAGCCTGATAACCTGGAGGCTGTGTCGCTGATCGTCTCAGCATGTTTATAATAGTTCATTGACGACTGTAAAAATGTGTTTTGGAGCTGTC